CAGCACAAATAAGTTCTAAAAAAACCCAGGATGTCCTGAGCAGGGAAGATGTAGGCACAGAGTTTTGGGTAGTTGGGAGTGGGCTGGGCCCAGCCTCATCCCCAGTGGGCACAGCTGTGAGAAGCAGGTGAGCAGCACTGGCAGCAATGAGCCATGGAGTGCCCAGGTGCTCTGAGCAACCACCAAAGGGAACAGAGAGCACACAGGTGCCATGCATCAATATGAGAGTATAAAAGGTTGGGCTGAAGAACAAGAAGGGCAGACCCTTGTAGCCTTCTGAGGTGGTGAGATGTTACTCTGCACGGGCAGAAGCCTGAAGCTTTCTGAAGTGATCTTGTGTTACTGTGTTTGGGCTGAAGCTTTCTGAAATTGTTTGGGGATACTCTGTGTAACGTGGTCACCTCAGCTGTGACATGTTCTGTGACTGGAAGATGGCTTGCGTGTCTGCAAGGCAAAAATTAATGGAGCCAGAGTTTCCTTTCCTGTCCTGCTTCACATTGAAATGGGATGTCTGGTGGGTGGGCCGGCCTTGGCTGTTCTTCTGGAGGAAGATGTTTCTGTGGTTACCTTGCAGCCTTTGTCACTGCAGATGCTGCTGGGAACCCAATTCCGGTGTGGATCCCAGTATAGGTAAGTGTGTATCAGTCTTAAATTCATGCAGCTATTACACTGTGTAGTTAAGATAAAGTGAACTGATACTGCAGAAACAGCTTGTTTGTTATAAACAAATATGTTCTATTTGGGAGTAGCATCCACAGTGGAGGAGCAGATCTGGACTATGGAAGAATTTGTTTCCTAGGCTAACATCTGGGTCTAGCTATGTCCAAATTGATTCTTTAGGCATGTGTGAAAATGCCTTTGCTTATTCTTAACTGTTGTTTCATATGCCACTGTTACCAGCCTGGGTTTATACTGAAAGTGGATCTTGGGAAGGCAAAGGCTGGAATCTGGGGGATAGCAGAGCTATGTACAAGATCCTAAAACCTGCAGGGAACCCTCAGTGAAGTGCAGGCAGCAGGAAGTTTGCCCATGAGCAGGGAACAGATGTTTCATTAGCAGGGAAGCCTGACGGAAACCAAGCCTTGTTAGGAGAAGGATGTTCCCATTGTTCATGGCAGGAGAGAGGACTTAGTGGATGTATGTGTTCAGCTGTATTTTAGAATTTGCAGAGTCAGGTAAAGGCTGTAAACTTCTGAGTAGGACAGGTCTGAGGCTTGAGGGTCTAATGGAGACTCTGTCCTTCTGTCACCACTGCCCAAGCCAGAAAAGCTCCAGATTTAGAAGGAATGTATGGTGGAGAAGAGTCAGGGCTCACATGGCTGTAGGATGGGTTCAGGGAGACAGCCCTGCTGCAAACAGGGAGTTTAAACACAGCTGCAGGAGTGTGCCAAGAAGTCTGCGTGGGGTTCAGTCTGAAAAATAAGCAGATGCAGAACAGGGTTGGGAGGAGAAATGAGGTTCAGAAAGCCTGGCAAATGAGGGAAAACCAAAAGAGAGAAATTTGTTTTGCTTATGAAACAAAGCCTGGGAAGGAATGGGTTGTCTCTCTGTAAACACTTAATTGACAAGTAAATACTAGAGGAGACAAAAAGTTCTTTATCACAAAGATCAATGCTGGCACAAGGACAAAGTGGTACAAGTTTGCTATTAATAAATTTAGCCTGGAAATTAGATTTTCAACCACTGGAGTGAGATTCTGGAGCAGTGTCTCAAAGGAAGAAATGGAAACCAAGGGAGCTTTGTAAAGGAGCCTGCAGTAACAAGTTTTCTCTCTGACACAGTCTCATTTCATGTCATGCATGCAGGTGCCTTAAACAGCCTGGCCCAGCAGTCCCAACAGGAGGGTGACTTGCAGGAGCAGATGAAGCAGCTGTAATCAGGAATCAATAGCCAAGGTACAAATCAGCTTCAGGAGAAGAGAGTTTCAGAGTAGCTGAGCTCTGCAGACATCCAGTTCTGACTGTATCTAGTGGTTAGATTCTGTGAGTCCTACATCTGTAGTTGCAGGGAGAAGGGATTTTCTTTCACTTTGCTTTTTTCTGCAGTAATTGAAAAATGGAGTTAGAGAATTATCATTCTATAGAGACAAAAGTTTTCTCCTCAGTTGTCCAAACAATGCCTGTTCAGCTATGACAAGAATATCTTTGTTCTAAGCTGTCGTAGGACGTTTGCCTTAGCAACACAGAGACATTTGGGGAAGCTGCCTACACAGAGGCTTCTCTCTTGGCAAATAGAAGAGGGGACTACAACAAATGCTTCTCCCTAAGAAGTTGAAAGCTTTGAGAAATCATAATTAAGATGGATTCTGAGACTTCCCCCAAAATCTTTTGTACTTTCTGTCAATTTAACATAGAGAATAGTCTGCATAGGGAATAGTCAACACAAATTTCTGTATTTCTTTCCATGTTTGTTTTCTTCCTCTGCCACTCCATTCTTTCTCTTATTTCCCTCACATCTTAAATGAAACCGAGGAAGGTGATTTTGTTGTACTGGTTTCATGCCTTTTCTTTGTATTTATCTTAGTTAATGTAAAAAACTTTTGCCCATTGAGGGGCTATTTTTATTTTATTGGTTTCAACAAACAGCAGTAACAGAAACAAAGGACTCAAATCTCATTTGCTTTCTCTTCTTGTTACTGTTCACTCCAAACTGGAGCAGGGGATGTAATCAATTGTAGTGGATGTAAGAGAGGACTGAAAGAATTCTGAAAAATTAGTAGTTGTAAACTTGGGGTTTTGCCCTGAGTACACACTCAGGGCAAGATTTGAAACTTTCAAGGGTTTGCAGGTGTTTGAGCTGAGAACAGTGGATCCTCAAGAGTTTGTGTGATTCTGTAAATCATATAGAGAATCCCTCACCTATGGATGTTCCAGAGTGGCAGTGCCCAAGGAATAATGGAAGATGTTTGGAAAATGTTTTCTGTGTCTCTTTATGTTGTGTGACTGCCACATCTCTCTGCTGCCCATAGGACTGAGTCACAAAATCCTGTTTAGCCTGGTTTACACAACCACAGGGCTGCCCTACAGATCTGGGAGCTTGGAAAGCCACCCCAGTGAGTGTCAGACCCCACCCTCAGCTGGATGAAGAGACAGCTGTGGAGCAACCCAGGCAGACTTCTCCAGTAAGAGAAGGAAGGTGAACGGTGTTTGCTGGTTTGTACCCATAACTGGGATGAAAGAAATTTCAAGGTGTTTTTTCCCAGTTAAGGGATCATTTTACCACAGTTCCTGTTAATCCTGTCAGAATGACCTGTTCAGCTCCTCCCTCAAGCTGAGTTTGATTCTTTCCACTGGTGAGAGAGGTGAGGGTCGCTGCAATGAGATTCTCCTCCTCTGGTTGCATCAGCCTCAGTTGGACAGTAATAATGCAGGGTGCAGTACATGAATGCCCAAAGGTGTGTTATGAAATCCCATTGAAGGGACTCAGAACAGTTTCTTCAGTCAGAACAGAGTTTGGAGTGTGTTGCACAAGATAAATTAAAAAATACTGCTACTGTTGCCCTGTAACCTTAATGCTCCTACCTATAACTGTCAAGATGTTTCCATTAAAGGGATAAAATCCCTGCACTGAATAATTATATTCAGGCCTTTATTCTAGAAGTTGTCACCCATTTGTGTCTCAGGACATTAGTGCAGCTCTGGTGCAGAGGACACCCCATCTCCTGTCCTGTGCTCCCACCAGCTGTTCCTGTCTCCACGCTCAGCTTGGCAGCTGGGTGTGGTTGCTAACTTGTGCTGAAATGTTTCTTCCTGCTCTGAAGGAAAGGTGAAGAACTAAAATGGGCTATGCCATTATCCATAAGGCATTAGGAGCCTAGTGCTTCTGGTGCAGTGCACAATTCCAACACCCAATAGACTGGACCTTGTCACTTTCTCTGAAAGACAAGCCAGCTATGTGGATTTATAAATACCTTTCCATACAGCAGATGGGGAAGGAGGGAACTTGGCACAACTCTTTGACTTGGTTCAGATTCAAAGGAAGTGAGCCTGTTCTTGAAATATGTCAGCTATAACCAGTGCCATGCCATTACATTTTGTACCACTGGGTTGTAAGAATATCTGAAGGGGCAAATATCTTGGTAATTTTGGACATGGAGGGTCACCCATGCTCAGTTCAACCACTGCTTGCAGTCTCTGTGAGGATGCAGCAGACCAAAAGAAGGAGCAGATCAGCATTAGAAGATGCATTAATGAAATGAGGAAGAAGGCAGCAGGCAATGGGGATTACCCACATCTTTCCTTATCCTGGCTACGCCTGGGATTCTGCAGTCTTGGTAATACAGAGCTCAGTGCCCAGCTCCTAAGCACAAGGTAGATTTTAATGTCTGCTCCTCTGTCTAGGATTAGGGATACTGACACTTCTTTTGTACATCTGACTGCAAGGGAGTCCTGGCAGCAGGGTGCAGAGGTGGATTTAAATGCAGCTGAACAATCAGGAGGGACAAGAAGGAAGGGATCTGTGCATGATGCTGCAATCTGTGTTCAGGGCAGTGGTGCCAGACCTTGGAGGGGAAATCCACTCGAGGAAGTGAACTAACATGATGTAATACCCTGAAAAGAGTTGTACAAACCAGGAACTACTCCAGCCTCAGTGTTGTGCCTTTTGTTCTGACTCCTCTGGGCTGCTGCTGGCCAGGAGAAGCAGTGCAGTCCCTGCAGGCATTTGCCTTTGGTTTCAGTGGCTCGCAGTAAGGGCTATCACACAGAGACAGGCCATCATCTGGTAAAAGTTAAGTTCAGCTGTGAATGTCATGGAAGATCACAGTGATATATGTGTGAGGTGCCTCTAGCCTGTTAGTTCTTGTTTTACCCATTTTCTGAGGGCTTTATACCTTCACAGTTCACTTTGACACCTGGTGAAGCATCTGTAGCACAGCCCCTCAGAGTGACCTGTTACACAGCCTTGATCTGCAGCACACCTGTAATTTTCCACCTACAATCCCTGCTGGCCGGGGTTAATGGTAGGTGGCTCCTGCCAAGTGACTCAGGCGTGACTGGTACCTGCCCAGCTCTGATAAAATCTCTGCCAAGCTGTTTAGAGGATCCCTTGCTCTGATCACACCAGCCTGTGTGGGTGTTGTCTCCTCACCCCTGGCTCTGCTGGCAGCATCTCATTTGCAGCTGACAGCTCACATCAAGCTCCTGGGCTTTTCAGTGACTTCCTGAATGAGAGAGATCCAAAAGCTGCATTTATGTAACACACAGTGTCATAGGTTGTGGGGCATCAAAGAGTTTGGTGGGGTTTTTTTCATTCTCTTTTAAGTGGCAGCAGAAACTATGACCAGATTATTTGGGTTTTGGCTTATTTGCTTTTGGGTTCTGCCAGTGTTGTGGACTGAGCTTGGCCCATGCTGGGGATGGTGACCTTTTTGTGAAATATTTGATGACTGATGTGGTGAGTGGGGACACCTGTGACCACTGGCCTTTTCCTGGCTGTTGAGGGCTGTTAAGTGCTTGCTCTGGTGCAGGTGTTTCTCAGGTGGTGGGTGTAAATCAGGAGTTAGTCACCTGCAGAGGGTGTTTGGAGCAGCTTGGGCGCAGGACTGGTTTACAAAAGTGCTTCTTCACGTCTCTCTGACAGAGTAAAGGTGTCTCAAAGCAGTTAGTGATTAATTTTTCATCTGTTTGATTTTCCTCCCTGACAGAGTGGTAGAGAGACACTGTGGCAGGATGTGTGCTGCTCAGCACAGAGTGGGGATTATGCTGCAGCACTTTGCAGCAAAATGGTGCTGTATTTGCTTTGTGTTGATTCATTCCAAATACTTATTCCTCAATAGCACTGTTTGTTTCTGTGTGCGCAGGGAAAGAAGTGGAGAATTGTGCTTAATATTACTTTTCAGTGGTGTAGTTAATTGTAGAGTTCTTTGAAAAGTGAATATATTCCTTTTCCTAGTGTTCCTTCCCCCATTAACCTAAGCATAGGTGAAGGCTTTGACTTCACAGGGTTATTACTGTTTTGTCTCTCAGTTCCATGTGTAGTGAAAGGAAACAAATCCAGCTTTACCTGTGCTGGGTAACAAGATTTGATCAGAAGAGAACAAGGAAGTGGGACAGAAGCTCCCTTGGTTTCCTCAAAGCTGTTTCCCATTATGACAAACACTCTCACTCCTCCTCCTCCAGTGTTCCCTCTGCATGGAAGGGAGAGCATAGAATTTCAGTGCCTTTCTCGTGGATGGAGGGTCAGGGTGCTGACCTGGAAAAACTTACCCACAAAGACACCTTTTTACTCTGGGAATCAGCACAGAATTCCCTGATCACTGTCAACAGTGAGTCATTGCTGGAGACCTCTGTGACCTCCAGCACCAGGCATGGCCAGCGAGGGGGAGGGAAGGTGCCGTGTGGGTTTGTGGGGGAAGTGGCCCTTCACCCCTTACAGAGTGACAGCACTGTGAGTGAGGACATGGCCCAGCTGAGGTGGCAGACAGCTAAACTGACCTCAGTGGTGACTGCTTGCTAAAGCCAGGCTGTCACCAGAGTCTCAGAGATGAGGGGGGCTGCTTTTGCAGGCTTTGGGACAGACATTTCTCAGATAAGAGGGGCTAAGTGGGACCCAAAGTACAGAAGCCCTCCTGAGTACCTCATCCCTGAGTACCACTGTTACTGTTCATTTGTAGCCAGAAGAATATTTAGATGTCTTCATAGACATGAGTATTGCCACAGTTGCCGAGCTCTAGTGTTTCCTCTGCAAGGCTTTGATTGTGGGACCCTACACTGCAATCAGTCTGAAAATTAAGCCAGCACTGAGTAAGAGCTGGTTAAGCACTGAGTCATGGAGGGAACATGTGGCAGCAGTTTCTCAGAACTCCTCCTGGCTTAACTGGTAGCAAAGAGGAATTCTGCCTGTGGTTGTAGCTGTGCCAGGGGTTCCTAGATTTGTGCTGCTCTAGTGCACAGGCAGCAGGAACAGTCACCACAGTTATTGGTGACAGCTGTCATCAGTCCTGGAGGCAAGGGCAGAGCTGCAAAGGGGCTGTTTCGTACCTCTAGGAATTCGTGCCTGTGGTGTCATGTGCTTCCTCCCACTGTGTGCTTTTCTAATCCTGATGGGCCTAACAGCAGCCTGCTGGAGATGTTTGTGCAGTTGGTTTTGACTGACCCAGGAGGTTTGTCTTTGCACAGGAGGATTCAGTGAAGGTGCCAGGAGGAAACAGTTTGACAAGACAGAGTACTAATTTCTTCTTGGCTGGCATGAGATACACATGGTCCTAGGAGTTTAAAGCTTTTCAGGAAATCTGTTGCTCATATGGTCCTTTTTCATTCTTGTTTTTTCTTCTTGCTTCCACCTAGAAGGGTTTTGTGCTAAAAGGGACCCAAGAAGATTTCTACTCTTTTCACTGATGATCTCTTCCCTTGCCTTTCCTTTTGTCCTTGCCTCAGTCCCCCTGAGGCAGTGGGATCTCAATCCCCAGCTGCCAACCTATATCAGGATCAGCACTGTGGAGAATTCAGGCTCTTACTTTATCCCTCTCTGCAATTTCCCAGCCATAGTATTTTAATTCCCTTCCTTCACACCCATTTTTGGAGCACACTTCTAAGGTCTAACTCTTAAGTCCAGCACCAGTGAGAGCAGTGGGAGGATGCTCTGCATGCCAAGGAGAGCAGCAGTGTCCTGACCTGGTGCTGGGGATGAAGTACATGTTAGTCCCTTGTGCCTCAGGGACAATGGGAGTCCAGGAATGCGCATCCTGAGCAGATAAACGTGTGGTGGCTGGTTACACAGATCAGCAGGTGCTGCCCCATCAAGTGGAAGGATTTATGTGCTTTGTGGACTCCAAGAAACCATTAAATAATGTTTTAACAGACCCAGCACATCTGGAAGCAAAGGATTTTAGAGCTGGTAGTGGCAGCATGACTGTGATGACTGTGACCTTGTTAAATGTAAACCTAAGTAAAAAGAAGACTCTCCCAGCTAATACTGTAAAATATAACTTAAGCAAAGTAAAAAGACTTCTTGAATTAAACTTGGCAAGTGTTGTGTAAGAAAACAATATTAGAATTAGGTATTATTTTAAAATAGTGCAAAAAAGTGTGATTTGCCCTCAGGAAAGAGTTATCTTCATAAAAGCACAACATTGTTCAGTGGTGAAGACAGCATTAGGAACAAAAATGTGAAAGCAATGTAGAAAGGGAGGGTGAGCTGAGCACAGTTAATCTAAATTAGAAATGAAGTGCAGAAAACTAGAAATGAAAAGGAAAATGTAAAATTATCCTTGGCTGCTATCTTCAAGGGCACTAAAGAGTTTAAACAATTCTGCTTGAAACAGAAAAATGAATTGTATAAGGTCTCTTTGAAATGGAAATGCTGCAATTGTTAATGATGATGAAAATAAGTAGAAGCATTTAGTAAGGATTTCTGATCTGTGTTTGGATGACAGCAGAATAATACACTAGACTCACAGGAGGACAATGAATTAATTTCTCAATTATTAGACACTAGGAAAAGAAAAGTATTATAACATACTAACTAGCAATAAGAATTTTAGAAAGGACATGTTCAGATAAGATGCAGGCAAGAGCCCCAGCAGAACTGTTGAGAGGATAGGTGCTGTGCATGTGGCAGGTCTTAATGGTGGGGAAATCCAGGACACTGGGGTTTTAATGTGCCAAAAGGAAAACTGGATTAGCCAAGCAAAACAATAGTGTGGGGAGTTCGGACTGAAGGGCTCTGTGGTGCTAAGCAGCAGGCCTGTAGAAGCCTCACAAACTGAATTCTGACATAGCTCTAAGAAAGCTGCCAGCCTTTTCTGATAATACAATCCTGGAACAGTGAAAACCAGCTTGTTTTCCTGAGAAAGAATTATTAGCTTGGGACTATGACTTGCCACCTGCATCAACTATTCCAAACCAGAAGAATGCAAACAATATCTCAAAACACCTCGGGTGAACTGACCAGTCATTACAGAGTAACAGCTTGTTAGTGACCAGCTGGGGATAGACACGAGATGTTTGCAGAACTCTATATAGAGGAATGTGTGAATAAACAAAAAACCTTTTTCACTCTATGAAAAGAATGTCTTGTCTCTCTAAAGCAAGGTCAACAGTGGCAGGGCTCCTTCCCTGTCTCACTCTTTCTCTGTGGGCTTAGGGAGAAGCCCTGAGGGAGATGATCCTTTTGAGTAGTTGCTGCATTTACAGCCTCTCCTGACTCTTACAGGATAGAATGACAAGTCAGCTTCTTTAGGAACAGGTTGTTTGGAGTCATGGAATCAAATAAATTTTTATAAGGCTCTGGATCAAGAAAAGCCCCAAAGTGCTGCTGACTTGAGAGACAAGTGGGCTGGCTTAGGTTCCAGGCCACCATTCCCCAAGCAATGTGGATTTTGGATTCACTGGTAGTGGAGGTGGTCTCATGCTGTTTATTCCTGAGTATTCTGTCCACCAGTGAGTTAAGCTCCTGCTTACATAGGAATTCATTTCCTGTGGAACTATTCTGAATGATGATACAGATGCTGAAGACTGTAATTCCTCCTCTGATGTGTGAGGAAGAGTCTGTAGAGCTTGGAGCCTCCCTCTGAAGGAAAGGTCTGCTTGCAGGTGAGCTTTTGGGGTTGCCATGGCCTGTCCAGCTGCAGGGCTTGGATGCTCTGTGGAGCAGCCTGGGAACTGAGGGAGTTGTTCCACCTTTGTACCTGCCCCAGGACAGGATTTCCAAGATGAACTCCAGGAAGGTTCTGTGTGTTGGCTGTGTCCCCGTGGGCATTAGCAGGGGCTTCCCTGCTATGGGCTGGAGGCCTGGATGAGATCTGGCAGCCCAGACTGCTCCTGCATAACAAACTGGAGTATAAAAGGGTGAAATGCTGCCCAGGGAGGCTTCAAAGATACAAGACAGACATGCCTGGGTGCTGCTTCCAAGCCAAGGCCTTTGAGCTCCTCACTGCAAAAGGGTGGAGCAGGAGAGGGAAACCTCATCAAAGGAACAGCCTTTGTCTCTGCTTGTCTCCCTTGCCAAGAAGGCAAGGCTAAGGATGAAACATTACATTGTTCATATGCTCATTCTGCTTTCAGTTGTATGATTAAAAACATGTATTGTAATTTTAATATATAAATATATGCACAGTCCCCCACCTCCCCATCAGCTTTGTCTCTCAGCTTCTCCTGTGCCTCTGCTTGGATGGGTTCACCACAATGGCAGAGGTGGTAATTCCACTTTATATTCTTAAAGCTGCCTTGCTAGGAATGTAATTTGGTTTTCTTAAAATGCTGGAGTGCTTTTCCCTGAATTGTTATTTAATGTGCATTTTTCAGATGTACTGACATCTCCAGTGAGTGTTTCATAATTTAAGGGTAAGTTATTTCTTCTCAGTCTTCTAGGAAATGCCAGTACCTGTGAGTATCATATAGAGAGGCCTTTGTGTGTTCAGTTAGCTCTGAGATAGGGCATTCAGTTTCTGTACTCTTGCACTTTGCACCTGGTATTATTCATCTCCATTCATTACAAATGAGCTTCTCAGCCTAATCTTTTGTTCCTATTATCAGGCTGCTATCTGTAATGCTGATGTAAAAGCAATATTAATCACTGGATGAATGGTAGGAACTAGAAATTTAATTACAAATGGAATTATTATTTATTATTTATGGAAGCTTAATTATGCTGTAATGTTTTGTAGACCTGTGTTGGAAAAGATCTGCACCATACAAGGAATGCTTTTCCTGGTGCAGCTTTATATAATCAGTTCTCAGTATCTGGAGTTTTCAGTAGGTGATTTTTAGATGCAGTTTTAGAGCCCAGTGCTGCTTTTTCTGTGCAGGTTGAGGGAGGGGAGTGAGCTTGGGGGCCCTGCTTGTCCTTATCTTCTGGGGGTGGGAATGCAGTAAATGAAGCCAGTTCAGGGAAACTCTTAATCTCTCTACATTATCTGTCTGATCTATCAGAGATCTCGTGTTATGCAGAAAAAAAAATTCCAGGAATCAGTAGCTTCTACAGCTGGGAAGTAACTTCAGTCCTAAAACTTCTTTGGCAAAAGCTGCTTGGAGGATGTTTTTAGGGGCACACTATGAGCGTGACAGGCGGTTCCTTGCAGAACAGTCACAGGCTGTGAGCAGAAGTGATGGGGAGGTACCACTGACCTCTTCAAGGGTATCA